ACACACACACAGATATACACACAAAGGCTCAGCGTCAAGCCCATCCCACCTAATGGCCATAGCCTCATACTGCTAACGGGCGCTCAGGAAAGCAATGAGGTTTGCCATATATATATATATATCAATGACCCCTGGTTGACTTCGCTCCCCCATTCACCTCCCCCTTTGTGACCTGGCAATGGTACCCTATTAGGGGGAGAGGGGGGGAGACAGAAGTAGGGTCTGGGATCCCGTTTGAATGGAGCACTCGGATACAAACATCAGCTTGTTGAGTACACAAATCTCCCTGCAAATGGGGTCAAAGCCAGTGCTTAGACATTTGTTTTGATTTTCCTGCCCTGCCCTCCCCCCTTGCCTTCACTCACACTCACTCTCTCCCCCTTTCCTCGGGAAATCATAACGGTTAGCAATCATGCGGGGAAATATGGCAATGATGCATCAGTGGAAGGAGGAGAGTGATCATGCAACACTCGACTGTCTTTTCGCGCGCAGTTTACTATCTCTTTGACGCATGTGGCACTCGCACAGGCACAGGGCAACATATACATCAAGAACACACTAACAGCCACTCGCAAGACACACATGATTGAGCAGCGGTACGGTTGCATCCTCTGGGGGGGGGGGGTATATGAAGGCAACATCACAAGAAGAAAAGTAAACAGGTTTGTGTGAATGCCAGACACAAATGTCAACTTCCTCATTGCTGCAGCAGCTTATCCATGTCCAATCTGGTCTGAAGATGAGACTCACAAACAGGCAACAGGAACAGGGTGGCATTTTTTTTAAAGCTTGTGCTAAGTTTGAATTTACAGTATTTGATAGAGCTGGTGCAATATGAAGTTGCATCAAAAAATGAATTCACCCATGCAGAAACCTTGTTTTCACACTGAGGAATGCAGATGTGTTTGTTTTCATTCGGTTGTGTGAGGCAGAGTAGCCGGTCGATTGGTGGCTAAGTCACAAAGAAAGAGGAGGTTGATCTCTATTCCGTCTTAAGAGGTAGGCCATCTGCAGCCAAGCAGGTCACTGTGTTAGGCAGACCCCATGTGACTCCAGCCTGCTCTCTAGGCTAATCCTACTTTGTGTGTATGGCCGTCCTTACCATGAGCTGGCTGCACAGCCTTCCACACACACACACACACAGGGGCCAGATAAAACCAGGAGCCAGTCAAAACAGTGTTTAGGGCCTAGCTAGTGTCTGTCTGCTAACCTGAGTGACATATGATCCAATGATGGGCCACTATGCTGGCAGAGAGTAGTGCGTAGCTCTAATGGCTTTATTTACAAGCTGCTTGCTGGAATGCACGTTTGCATGTCTGTGGGAGTCTGAAGTAGAGGATTTATGACATGTGAAATGGGTGTGTGTGGTCTCGTGTCAGCATGCCCTCAGTTTGTTTATGTATGCCATTCTGTGTTTCTTTCTTTGCATGCAGTTTCATATATATGTGTGTGTGCGTACACATGTCCGCAGCCCTTAGAAGCAGAGGGTAGCAGCCGGCTGCTCTCTGATCAGGTTACAAAAGTGGGTGTGTTCCCGCTCTCCTCTGTCGCCTGCATGTCTGCCTCTTCCTCTCTCTCTCTCTCTTTCTTTCTGCCTGTGGCTTGCGTCATCCAAGCCTCTTCCTCTGGCACCACTACAGACCACCTCTCTCTCACTTGTCTGTGTTCCTCCCCTTCCCTCTCTTCCTTTCTTCCTCCCATCTCCTGACAGTTCCTGACAGGGAGCAGCCCTGCAGCTGGTCCACACTCCCTGCAGGAGGCTGGGCGCCATGTGACTATCTCCCCTGACCTCTTCCTCCACTGATCCTCTGCTGAAAACTGGCCCACCAGCCGCCCGCCCAGCATCACGCCGGTGTTGCTTGCCTGGACCACGGCACAGGCACACCTGGGATTCTGTCGCTCATAAATTCAAGCTGAAACGCAATGAAACGCTGAACAAATGGTTCAGCGGAGTCTTTCTAACATGTACTCTGACCTGATCCCCCTGGTCTCACTAACACACACCGAAAACATCTTCACCACAAAGATGCTCTCTGGCATCTGCCTGATCTAACAAATGTTGCCCAACCCTTCTCAGTCACTTCTAAAATAACTGTGTGCTATCTGGAGTAAACCACTACCCCATATGCTGGATGAAAACTCACAACCAACACTCACACAGTCAAAGACCTTACTGTGCTGTAGTAATTACCGCCATGTAGGCCATGACCAATTTGAACAAGCAGTGAAAATGCAGTGCCAACGTCTCGAGTATTGATAGATCTGGACAATTCTGGTTGTGCAGCAGCTATTATATAAGAGGAATGTGTTGTGTGGACCGCAAAAAGTGTTGTTTATGTTTTCTGTTCACAGATCACTTTTTTCTGTTGCTCCAAAAAGTTTAATCACAGCAGCTTTCTTGCCTCAACTGCATTTGTCTTTTCAACAGAATATTAGTGAGCTTATGAGACACATGTAATGCCAACAGACCAAGTGCCGTACAGCTATTCTTCTTATTGCATGTAATGCATCCATACAAAACTTTTGCAATCAACAGTGATCAGCAACATACATGTGCGAGTTTGAGGTTTGTTTGTGGTAGAGGTACATGCAGAGACAATACCTTGTCTTTCTCATGGGGCAACAACCGGACAGGTGGCAGTGACTCCAGAGACACCGTCCCAGTCCCGTCGTCCAGGGAGCTGCTGCGGCTGACGAGCTGGAACAGTGGACCCTGCTTAGCCACGCGCCCATGGGCCACGGCCCTCTTCAGGGCCACCCTCAGCTGCTGGTGGAAGAGGCCAGGCCCCATGGAGCCGCTGCCTGACAAGTAGGCCGCCACATCAGCCTGGCACTTGAGAAAGCGTTCAATGTTCTTTAAGCTGGAGCCACCAGGCTCATGGAGCCCCTCCAGAGCCCGCTTAATCAACTTGTTCCAGTCGAGTCCCGGTTTCTTCCCTGAATGGGAGTGAGAGACCAACCCACACTACACACCACCACACCGTGCGCTGCTGTACGCCCGCGCACCGCCGCCGCCGCCGCCGCCGCCTCCTCCTCCACCTCCAGAGCTGCCACTACCTTTGGGCTTGGGCAGAGCCAAGCGCCCAGGGTTGTCGGGGTCCTTGTAGGAGTTGAGACCTTTGTTGGTGACCTTAAGGATGGTACCATCCTTAACGCTAAGCTCCAACTGCTCCAGAACCGTTTTGCGGTCCAGACCATGGGACATGGAGACCGCATTGCAAATGCGCTCCTCTGATGGTCGCTGCTTCTGCTTCTTCACCTTCTTGATGGCCTCTAGGATCCATTGAGTGTACATTGGGTTTGCCAGTTTCACCATGGCTGCGGTCTGAGTGGGTGCAGCCCTGCGGTCTTACCGCAATGACCACACACGAAAAACAGGTAGTGTAAGCCAAGGAAACACCTGGCCTGCGCCGTAGCGCCGCCGCCTCCTCCTCTTCCTCTTGCCCTCTGCCTGCTTACTATCCCTTGTCCTGGGGTCGCACAGAGAGTCCCTCAGAAGCTGAGTATGAGCAGGACGGTAATGAGCAGCTGACCATAGCACAAACCCCCTGAGCCAATCCTCCACCTGGTAAAATGCAGTCTACCCACCACCCGCTCCCAGCCAGGTGAAGGTCCCTGGCAAGAAGCAGGGGGAGGAGGAAGTAGCAGGTGTATCAGCAACTTAAACTCCGACTCAGCACACAAGGTAGGGTAGAATAGATCTTGATAATAGAAGAGGCTTTCACAAAAATAAGGTGTTTCCCACTTTTCCTGTTGCAAAATACCTAAATATGGACAATAACTGTTCCTGGTTGTGGCAAACTAGCCAATTCTCAATGTGAGTGGTGGAAGATGATCATGGTCTCCGAGATGTGAAATTAGTGTTTCAATGATAAAGGTGAGGGCAACACAGTAAATCTCTTTTCTGTGGAGTATAAAATTCCACAAGATTTTTCCTGCATCCAGGTTTCCTCGTTCCTTGTTCTCTCTCGGTGTCTCACTATTCCAGCAGTGTGGGCCTGGGACAGAACAGATATCTCACCCCAGGGAGCAGCCAGGGCTGATCACCTTCATGCCTATTGCACTCTCCTCTCTGAGGAACCCTGCACAAAAAAAAGAAAACAACACACAGAAACAGAGGTTAGCAAAACCTTGCAGAAAAAAAGTTAAACATCTTCTGACAAAGTAAGAAACAACACGGCAACAAAGTTGTCTTTAAATGATGAGTTTGACGATGGGATGCAGATAACCGTAGAGAGGGTGCAACTTTTTAAACAACACTGGTACACCAAATATAAACAAAGCCACACATGAGGTTTAACCATGCACTACTAACAAAACTGGGAGTGAGGAAGAGGAGTACTCTTCCTACTGACACACGTTACCTCTACACAGCTTGCTGTTTCAGTTTGTAAACAACCATGCAGTTCCCATATTAAAAGGAAATCACTGCAAACCCCAACCCAGTACACATGAACCATCGAGCATGCCCACGGCCTCTACTAACTACTAGAAATGACACATGTGTCTCATACGATGATGGAAGTGATCAGGTATAAAAAGGATAAACATCATTCTAATAACTGCACTAGCAACTTGACCACTGGGCTAGTTGGGTTGCTAACGTAAACACGATGCAGTCAAAACACAGACTGTTAGCAAACATTAGCTGAGAGGCTAGCTAAAAATCAAAGCTAAGTCAATTGCCGCATTGCCAAACAGTTTCCTGCGGTGTTTACTCTCACTGATATGATACTGGGCAGCTCAGTGTCTGACAACAAGCCTTCCCGCTAACAGCTGTTGTTTAGCAAGCTAACGTTAGAAGCTAACCAACGAGCTAACGTTACGATTATGTTACTAACGTTACTCGCTAACCCGAAACGTAAACAGCATGAAACAAGAGGTTAGCCAGCGCTCCAGCTCAAAAAGACAACAATTCCCTCTTCGACCGACATATCAGACAATACACACCATCACCCCGCAGCACACACCGCGAATAATCTCAGTTTGAATGTCATTCAGATATTAACGTGAGATCGCGGCCTTGTAAAAGGCACAATGCAACTTGCAGACGGCCATCTCGGCTAGCGGGCAAGTGCAAAAATGAAGACATCACAGCCGCGGATTCTGCAGCGTTACATGCTCTGCGGCCTCCCGCTCAGCCGTCGGTATGGGCGAGGAGCCTCTGCCCGCTCAGACGCGTCCCTACGAGCGGTCCCCGCCTCGCTCACTTCCTCCCTCCACCAACCGCCCTCCCACGTAACGTTACAGCCTGCGGTGCGGTGCGGTGAAGACAAGGCCGCTGGAGCGGAGTAGCTAGGCCTCGGCTCCCCCCTCCGTACCCCCCACCCACCTCCGCGACCATCATCCCTCCGTACCCCTCTCTCCCTCTACCTCTCGCGGTTCCCCAGAAAGCCCGAGCTGGTCCGGTTCTGGTTTCCGAGGGAAGCTCGGGTAAAGCAGACCGTGTAAAAAATCTCATGTGCCCCCATCCGGCTTCCGCCGCTACTCACCGGAATTTCGTGTCGAGCCGCCGCGGAGAAGGTGCCAAAACCGTGCGAAACGGAGACAACAACAAGCCTAAAAATGCAGCCACAGACCAGGGGTTCTAGAGCCGACGCCATCTTTGAGTGAAACAGGAGCACGGCTGGTGGGGGAGGGGGGAACACTGAACCGTCAGGCAGGGCCAAGGGACCGTCTGCATGGTGCGAGGCGAAGATCCAGGGGAAGAAAAATTCACTGCAAGGCGCGGGGGGCGGCGGCGCTGTGCTGTTGCTATGAGAGGGGTGTGGATATTGCTTGAGCACATGAAATGGAAGAAAGGGACAGATGGTGGTGGTGGTGGTGGTGCTGGAGGGAGGAAAAAAAGAAAAAGAGAGGATAGGTGTTCTCGCATTCTCTGCTGTACTACAGCTACATAAGGAGAGATTCCAGGGAGCGTCTGCATTTTGCCCAGCAGTTGTAAAAAAAGAAAAGGAAAAAAAAAAAAATCAAAGCCAATGAGCGTGCCTTAACGTTAGAGGGTATTTAAAGATCAAAGTGAGACACCCCTCCACACTGCAGTCTATTGTAGCAGCTGTGTGTTTTTTAAGCTGAAGCCACACAGATCCACAGTCCCCAGAGATGATCAGATGTTGCCATGTGTAGCTATCTGGAGTATTACAGTACATGATAACGCATGTTATTATCTGTCTATGCAGAGTAGTTTACTAATGCATTGCTCATTAGACTGTGAAAATGAATATTATCTTTCCACCAGAGAAAATTATTATGAAAACTGTCTGCAGTCGATCCACTTTGTTACATTTCATTAAATGACAGCTGAGTCTAACACCTTTTTCTTATAATTTATGTTTGGAGAAAGGAGTTTTTTTTTTTTTACAGCTCTCAGTGTGACACAAATTACAGCATCTGGTGACAGATGGAAGCAACATAATGTAAAGGTATCACTCTCGGTGCATTTGAATCTGCAGTGTGCTCAATTTAAAATTAATTTTCACTGAATATGCACACGTTATGGATACTTTTAAGCCTAAAAAGTTTAACAATGTTAAAAGTGAGACTATTAATCATGGCTCAGAACACAGAGAGTTCTGCACAGCGATTGATAAAGTGTCACATATTGCATATAGGAATCTGCCTTGGGCGAGTTTGAACAACTTAAGTAAAGCCTTCTTATTCAGAAGAAAAACAATCAATAGAGGAAAACTGATTTTGCTGCTTCAATTTCATGATCACAGTGATACAGAGGCACTTGTGTCGGAAATCTGGCAGCAATCTTCCTTTTCTATTACAGGCTAATGCTGAAAGCTCCCTGGGTGGAAATTAAATTATCTGCAGCTTTGTGTAAAATGATGTGTACAGCAGTCCTTAGAGACGGATTATAAAGTGTCTTATAGGGAGCAATTAGACCTGAGGTTTTCCCATGTTAGAGGTGTCTTGTGAGAGGGTGCTGCTGTCAGCACAGTGGTGATCAAATAAAAACCGGTAAGGTCACACTTTACTCGCTGTTTGTCTTGCACTTCTTCAGGGACAGATAAATCACATTCCGACGACAAGGCACTAATTATAATTAACGGTAGTGTTATTACACAGATAAATAGTGTGAAGCGTTAACACATGAACGGCTATTAGTACGCCTCCTGAGGACTCACATATTACATTAGTGTGTACAGTAGGCCAGCTGACAGATGGACAATACTCAGGAGGAGTGCACCACATCTATCGTTCCCGGCCATGAATAAATAATGTTGTGTGCCATAATCCACTGCAGAGGCCATGTTCACCAACACACAACCACAGAAACAAACTAACCCGCGGGGGGCACTAGGGTGGAGGAGTAAGGAGTCATTTCACTCTAATTGTGATGAGATCATATTGATTTTCATTCAGAAAAATGGAGGCAGAGGCACAACTTGAAGACTTACTTATTTCAAATGAGTGCTGTCAGAATAGTAATTGGAGGAATTAGGGCTGTGAGGGATGTAAAGGAAGATCATTTCACTTAATTTTAATTTACACACATCTTTCAACTATTACAGAATACCTGATGGTGCTAAATAGAAAGTCATGTATGTATAAAAGTAATATAAAAAATAAGGAAGTGCTGAAGCAATAAGTCGATTAATTAATTAGTTGATTGACAGAAAATTAATGGGCAACGTTTCGGTTAATTGATAAGCTGTTTAGTTAGTTAGTTTAGGAATAGTTTCCCATTTTGGAGACGTGCATATGCTTTCTTGCTGATAGTTAGATCGGATGATTGATATAACTTGCATGTTTATATTGTAAATAATATGCTGCTACAGTCAGCAGCTGGTTAGCATAGCTTAGCATAAAAACTATAAACAGGGAAGCAGCTAGGCTGGCTCTGTCCAAAGTTATCAAAATATACCAGCCTACCAGCACCTCCAAAGCTCACTAATAAACACATTATATGTGTTTAATTGGAGCAGTGACTCTCTAAAGTCCTATTGGAGATTCAAGGAAATCACTAAATAGCGCAATGTAAAACCAATTTTTTTTACAGTTATATAGTTATTATAGTGTTTGTATGGAATTAAAAAAAATTAAGATATTATTGAATTTTAAGGGGGGTGGAAGGTGAGGCTGAAGTGAGGGAGTTGCAATCTGCAACTGCGGACCTTTAAAAAAACAGCATGTAGGATTTAGTGGCATTTAGCTGTGAAGTTGCATATTGCAAGAATTTTAATACAGCCTTTCAAGAAAAGAAAAAAGTGAAACGCCCTGTCTAGAGCCCGTGTTTGGTTTGTCCGTTCTGGGCTACTGTAGAAATGTGGCAGTTTAATACAGCAGACTTCATAGAAGAGAACCCGTCCCTTTGTAGATAAAAACAGCTCATTCTAAAATAACAAAAACACAATGATTCATATTATACACTAATGAAAGCATAGTTATTTATTTATTATCTTCTGTTTCTGCCCATAGATCCTCCTAAGTATTGACCTGTAAGTCAATTTATTGAGCACAAATGTTGATAATTGTCAGGTTCCCCATTCTCAAATGTGATTTTCTTTCTTTTTGTAAATGAAATATCTTTAGTCTTTTGAAGAAATGATTGGCTCTGGAAAATTGTGACATAATATTTTTTCACATTTTGGGGGGATTTTACAGACTGAACAACTGATCACTTACTGTAACAAATTAATTATAGAATGATCAATAACAAAAATAATATTGATTTAAATCTATTTAAAAGAAAAATGTCAGTTCCTATTTTGAAACATGGGTTTCCCAAATATGAACAGTTTCTGATCATCTATATGGTGGAAATGTGTTTCCTTGGGTAATAAATGTTGCCCCCACTCACAAATGGATGTTTTGGCATTAGACCCTTGGCTTGTACTCTATCTTTGGTGGAGAAAAGGAGACAAGTAATCCTTAGCTTCCTTTCATCCCCTTAATCCCCCCTTTTTTAATTTCTATTCTCTGAGCATCCACCTGCTAGGGGCCCTGAGCCCCCCCGCAAGCTGCACCAGTGTCCACCTGCCCCATGCAACCCTCCCCACTCTGACACACACACATAAACACACACATCCTGTCCACCTGATGCACAGCAGCACCTCCTGCTCTCCAGGCCTGCTGTCGGGCCTGCTGGCTCTCGCTCTGCTCCACTTCTTCCTGCCTCCGGTTTAAAAGCTGGACCTTTGCCAGGCCAAATAAACTTACGGCATCCCTCTCAACCTAAAAACAACATTTCATGCTACAATTACCATGCTTGTTTAGGTGTTGTTGTTTTTGTTTCCAGATATTCAGTTGTGAGTTGGGCTGTTGCCACACAGCCTATGAAGAGGTTTTGCTGTTGTTTTTTATTCCAGATCCCTTTGCAGTATCATGTCAGATCCCCTATTGTGAAATGCACTTAAAATAGGACTTGATTGATTGCCTGTTTAGGTTCAGTAAATGAGGATGTTTACATATTGAGTCCAGCTGAGGGAACATTTTCCAAGTAAACAAGGCCACTTGACACATGACTAATTAATATGAACCCATACTGCATCCATGGCAGCTTTGGCTACTTCTGTACAGTGGTAAGGTCAGGTGTATATAGTGTAAATTGATGACAACTGAAGAATAAGACATTATCAAATGGAAGTCTGGAAGTGACTCAGCTGAAAGGAAAAACGGGAAATGCATCCTCTCTAGCTGATGCCTTTTACTTTGTCTACATAAAATAAGGAAATATGAATGTTGAGTGCAGCTGTGAGTAAATAGTCAATCTGTGCCACCACCCGTGCAGACCTCATTTCTGAGTTCCTGTTTTTTTGGGTGATGAACGGAGTGCTGCGCTCAGATAGCCAGGCAGTGTCCAGGACTGCTTTATTTGTCTGTGTGAAACTAGCAAGCTTCCTGCTGTGGCTGGCTGGCTGCCAAGTCCCCAAACCCCAACCCAACCACGCCCCCCAGCCCAAACTCCAACTCTAACTCTAAACCCCTCCCATCCTGAAAAGAGCTGAAACATACAACGGAAATTTCCAGGGCCTGTGCGCCCGAGAGCGTGCCCCCACCCGTCCAGTGACCCCCACCACCATCTAGACCCCTCCTACCACCCTCCCTCCCTGTGGCCCCTGCTCCCTCCCCTGCCTTGAATCTGAAGGGACAGAGAGCAGCTGGAAGGTGAAGTGCAGCTTGTTGGCGCTGAGCTGAAAGTCAAGCCAGACACCTCTCGCTCTCCCTCCAACTCCTCCTGTCTGAAATCTTCCTGAAAACAACACCTCCTTCACTTGAACCCAGAAGTGCTTAAGAGTGCCACAGAGTACACTTGTACACCAGGCATAAGCAGCGGAGAGACAGGGAGGGAAATGTGGAGAACTACTCTGTTTGACAAATCAATTGTCCTGCTGTGGTTAACAGTCGTTTTAAGTGTAAGTACATTTCAAGCAGGGGCCTCTGACAAGGCCATTAACATGCACAAATAGCTCTGACTTTAACACTAGTAAGTACAGCAGAGGAGGAACTAGTCACAGTAATCAATAGTGCTGAAGCAGGAAAACCCCTGACACATCCATTTCTTAGTTTTCTTGTTTGAAAGGCATGATTCATAATCATCCATTCAAGTGCATTTATTTAATCAGCTTCATTGAGATCAAGATTTCAAAAGAGAGGACAAGAAACTTTCTTAGACAAACATGCAACAAAATGGAATCAATA